CATAGTGATTGACTCCAAGTTGGTCAGGCAGGTATTACCAATGAACCCTTTAAGAGCTGTTACTTTTTTTATATCTACCTTTTAACAAACAAGCCATATCATTGCCAATTGTTGGACCTTAGCTAAGGCCAAATGAAGGAGTTTATGTAGCTGATTATTGCAACTGGTACCCAATTAACCGTGTTTTATTTCTATTCCCTTATTTAAGGTTTGGGCTAAAATAACACTGGTATTTCCAAGGGCCACTACAAGTTTCATACTTTTCTTTCTCATGATCTCATCCTTTTTGGTCACGTGCTTTGGGCCTATTCATGCTAATATCCCCACTCAATTTAAAACCATAATTCACACAAATCTAATGTGGACCTACATTACTATAGTGTCTGTCTAATGTGAGATTGCCTTCCCAGAGCAGCTGCTCTCACAGGCGGTGATCATAAGTGCCGTGGACCGTCTCATCCTGAATCAGGGAGTCTGTCAAGTTCCCCAAAATTGCATGTAGCAGCCATTGTGCATAAGGCAATTACATAGCGGGTCTATCCCCTGCCCCTCATTGGTCTCTGTGGAAAACCTCTGTCACGCCCCAGTTTTGTTGTGCTTTTGGAAGCAATAGTTTCCCAGGGCTCCTTGAACTGCTGTGAGGCCTGGGGAAGTGATGAGCTTCAGAGTGGTACAAATCTCCTCTGCCTTGTTTCCCAATAAGGTAACGTAACAATTTTGCTTTCCTGCTGTTGTCATCCTCCAGCACAGCCAGGTCTGTGTACAGCTCAAACTCCTCCTTCCATCACTGTAAAATCAAGGGCTCTGGGGGGCTGCAGACCATGTTCCGTGGCACATGCTACCGGCTGCTACACTGCAGAGAACTCTCAGCTCTGACGCCATATTTCGTTAGCAAACAATGAAGCTGAGCACGTATTAAATTGAACAAGTGGAACTTTCATGTAAACTGTGGGATTACTCTGTCAATGTGGCTGAGCGGCTTCCAACCTAATTCCCCATATTCCTTGTTCTCCTGGTGTCCTGCCAAGAACAGTCCCTCCGGGAAATGTTGTTTCACTGACCCTGCTACAAATAGCATCAAAGATCTTTATTTTTCTGTCTTCCCCTCATTTAGTAAGGTCGGAAGTTGATGGAAGAATTCCATATTTTCTCATGCCACTTTTCAGTTTAGAAATTCCCCCAAGGACAAACCCGCCCAAACCCAAGGGGAGGAGCCGGATGCTGTCCTTGCTCAGTGTTCTTGCCCTGCAAGAGCAGCCAGGAGCAGCGTTAACCTGATTTACGTGAGGCTAGTTTTGTTCTAGTGTCTCGTCCCTGATCTATGTGCACAGCAGCAGCAGAGGTGTGGCCTTTACGAGGGTAGGAGAGAAAAACAAACACAGAAAAAAAGTGGGAAGAAAGTGAGCAAACAAAAAACTAGGAGCACAGAAGTGAGGAAGAGCCCCACTCAGTGAGTGAGAAGAAACCAAC